TCATAGTTTAAATATTTGCATTTTGATACTATATGCTTTTTAAATTTATTTTTCATTGTTAAAAAGCAGTCCAGCGATTCCGCCATGTACCACCAGTGGTACACGTACAATAGTTTGAGAACCAGTGATTTAGTCTAAAAATTATATAGTTTCAGCCATGATTTGTATTAAAACACAGATGGTCAGACAGGTTACAAATAAGTCTTATTTAACTAATTTAGTGAGGACGAAGGTGAGCATCAGTTTTTTTTTGAAAATGTACATCCTTACTGCAATTTTAAGTCCAAGCAGTTTTACAATGTATTAAACATTTCTGATATGTTTTGTTGCTACTTAATTGTGATATTTGCTCATTTTTACAGTTTTATTTAACTGTAAATGAAAAACTTTTGGTTTGTGGGCTGTTGGTTGGACAAAATAAGACAACTAACTCATTTCATTAAGTTACAGTATTTGAAAAAACTAAGCCTGGTTTACTTTCCATATTGTACAACAAATCAGCATCCAATTCTCAATTTTATTTATATAGCACCAACACCATGAGCAAGGAAAAACTTCACTACAGCACTCGCTATTAGAAGTTCATGATTAAGTTAAACGATTACTTTGTGGGCAGAAAAAACTACAGTTCAACACAATTTACAAAAGCAGCAGCGTTTATACTGACATCATCATTACGTGTTTTTGTCTTATTTCCATAAAACCCACCAGTGCTTTCCTCTAAAGTAATTTTTCTAAATGTTTAGCTGTAATATTTGCGGTCTAAAAACGTTAACAGGAAAAAAACCTAATGTCCGTATCTGAACATATGAAGCCAGCAGAATAAGGCAGTGTTGAGTAACGTTAGTACCCAATAGTGTCGTAAAAATGTAAATTGGATTTTAAATGAGGTTGTTGTCACTGGCAATAGCAGGGAACATACTTGTGGGTCCCACTATGATGATGATAATAATAATGATAATAATAATAATAATAATGTCTTTCTCCTTTCAGGTTAAAGCAGACATCAAGAAACGAGTGAGGGAAGACCCGGATTTCAACTCTCAGCAGTTCCCCAACGCACACAGAGCCTTCTCATCAGACTCATAATCCAGTTCAACTGATAAGAAACCTACAAGACCCTTTCCATCTACATCTTTATTATTTCTTGAATCTTGATTTAACTACCACTCAACACAGCTTCACCCCCAAAACTGTCTGCTTGCCTTTTTAAGCAGTTAGCAGCTCTCTTGACTAACTGCCTAATGCTAATGTGACTACTTCCCCAGTGCCTATTTATTTCTGTGTTTATTTTGGTCCAACTTTTGCTGAATGTTCCTTGTTGAAAGGTATTGTATCAGATTTAAGTTTGACTAAATCAGGTCACTTTAATTCAGTTTGGATACATGTGTATGTCCGTATTTTTTGCCCTCTTATCCTTGTGTTGCTTTGTTAATATGAAGCCTGAATTTTCATTATTTAGTAGACTTTTGCCTTCCTCAATACTCTAGCGCAAGAGTATACTTTCATGTGATGAACATGCTGTTTGGTACATGAATGTACAGTAAGCTTAATAAAAATCTTGATACAATACAATGGTACTCTAAGTCTGGATTAGATTATCAGCTAAATTTAGTATTGGTATATTTGTCTTAGAAATTGCACCATAAAAACAAAGCCAAATATATGTGGTAATTTAGAAACAGTGCTATTACACAGTTTGTCCACCAGAGAGCACTGACAAGTTTAATTAATAATTTCTGCTATAAACTGGGTTAGAAACTATACTTTGTAATGATTAGTTATAGTTGAAAGTACATGGGAATTACAATAGCCGAAAAATATGAAAAATTAGCATTATATCTTGAGGAAATTGTCAGGTTAGTTAGAGATGCAGTAGGTCAATTTACATACAGCAAAATGGAATAAGTAATTATTAATTTCTCCTTTCTGGAAACAAGTAGTCAAAAGTATTGGAGAGTGGTTGCATAAACACTACCAGGTATATCTTAACATAAACTTGGCATTGACAGGCTTAATTGGCACTTCAAGAATTGTTCTCTACCATTGGATTCAGTGAAAGGCTGTTTTAAATAATTAATTAATGGACATTGCCTCTTGAATCTTTGTAGGATTTATAATTACAAGGGAAGTTTTAAGAAGTCTGGTAAAAAATTTTAATGTAAAATTTGCTACTTCGTTTATGTTGTATTTATAACTAACGATGAAATATTCATGATCCATTGTGCAAAAGTAAAGTTGAATTTCTCAAAGCAGCAATATCTAATACAATATTTTTTTTTAAATTGTTTTGAATTAGTTTTGATACACTTTTACAATTCAATTCTGAGGAAATTCCAGTTGATGTTGACTAACCTTGATTGTCCTTCCTCCTTTGCTTCATCTTGTTTTTGTTGAAAGAAAGATTCTCATTACATGTTGCTAAAGGTGAAAAATGGAAATGCAGGATCATCCACTTAAGTTAAAGTAAAAGTATCATCAGCAAAGTTTACTTTACATTATTAATAATGATGCAACTAATGTGTAAGCAACATTTTACTAACTGGTCGATTTAGTTTTAACTACTCTATGTACAGTTAGCTAGTTTATTCCCAACCAAGGGGTCGGGCCCCTCCAAAGGGTCACAAGATGAATCTGAGGGGTTGTCAAATGATTAATGGGAGATCAAAGAATGAATATAAGTTCTGGGGTATAAATCTGTATTAATTTTTCAGATTTTTCTCTAATCCTTGCTTTTTTGTAAAATATTGGATAATTTTACCACTTTGGGCCTCAAATAGTTATTCAGATAAAACCCTCTGAGAACTGTAGAGGAGAAATCTCTCTTTGGTGGAACTTAACAATTTATAGACATCTGAAATGTGAAAAGGAACTAGACACTGATTTGATGAAGAGGTCACAAGCAAAAAAGGCTGAGAATCACTGATTGAAGCTTCGACAGTGTATGTCATTCATTTTTTAATTTTTTTAATGTAAAATCTAAACCCGGATAACTAGTAATTAAAGCTGTAAAACAAAAAGCCCAATATTTCTCTCTGAACTAGTGAAAAATACCCTTTAGTAGCCTAAAATGGAAATGCTTGTGTAATATATCGAAATTGTACTCACTTAAGTACAGTAGTTGTGTAAATGCTCGGGATGCAGTGGCAGCAGGTCAAGCAGGGCACTGCAGACTCCCTCTCTCCACCAATGCCTCCCAGCTCCTCCTGGGAGAACCCAGATGAGATAGGGACAGACTGTGACCATGCTGTTCTGTCACTGAACAACAACATTACAAAGTCACACAGAAAGAGAAGAGTATGCTGCCCAAAGGATGAGAACAAGTTTAAAGCTTTGCTGGGGTTTTCCCCTCAAGCTGCCAAAGTCAGAGACATTGATCAGAGCAGGAGACTTGCTGCCCAGATTAAAAAGACATCAGATTTAAAAAACAACTGCCCGTCACAAAGATGGCTTTGTAGAAACTTTTGTAAAAACTCAGCCAAGAGGATGTGTTGTGGATCAAAAATAGTCAAATAGTCAAAGAGGAAAATCAGAAGAGCTCAGCACATGACACAGAATTTCTGCCCATGCCCCATTTTAGTAAAGATCTATGCAGACAATATGACGTGACAATGAGATAAAAGCTCCCAAGATAACAACCTCAGAATGCTGGACATCCAAACTATCCAAAACTTATCTCAAAACAGCCCCAGAAGAAATAGATTTATGGCCTTGCATGTGATCAGATTTGGTTTGAAGCCATCAGGCTGAGTGTTCTGACAACTGAGTGCCATATTTGCTTAATGCAAAGAAACATGAGTTTGATGGAACACAAAATACTTTGATCACCGTGCAGAAGGAGGAGACAGAAGACATGAGGAATCAAAGTGACTTCAGTCCACACAGAGTATTTCTAGTTGAAAAAGTGAACATTTTATCCCACTAGTGATTATTAAGATTGCCTACAAACTCTATATTTTACATGCCAAGTCCTTAATTATCTTCAGCCTTATTATCCATCTGTGTTCATTTAATTTAATTGCATTATTAACTGTTTATCCTGCTGCATCAAATCACCATCAAGGTCAGCAATGGAAAGTGCAATTTTAACTGCATTGTGTGTGTTAAACCATTCATAATTCATTATATGATTTACAAACAAACTTACAACTAAACTCACCATGTGCTTCCTCTCTGCTTCTCCTCCAAATGACCTTTGACCCTGGAAGTACTTCCAAGCTTTTCCTGTTCCAAACTGTGGGAACTTAAAAACTCTTCACCCAAAATGCTATACTCCTAATTTTGGCCTAAAATCTCACACAGTTTATTAGGAGAGTGAGTTTTCTCACCTAACTTTATATGCTTATCACTAAATATGAATCGGTGTTGCATATGCTTTTTTTACTTTCTGTAAACAATAATCGTTTTGATAAGTGCTATAAAAACAAACTTTATTGTTATTACAAGCAGTAACACGTCTGCAGTGGTCACTTTTTTTTAACAATTATATAAAATAAGATTCATATTCAGTCTTTTTCATGTGTTTTCCCAGCTCCATCAGCCCCTTAAGAACCTATTAAACTATGAAACAATCCATATAAACAATCCATATAATTGTCTTTTAACCAGAAACTTAGTAAGCATATTCAAATATTTTATATCAGTCTCTAAATAAGGCCATGCATGCTAGGATAGTGCACAGTAATCTGTTCATATGAATAGAGATAAAAATAGAACACAGATAATTATGCTGTGTGAACACAATTACTTTATTTTACAAGTGGGCGGTGCAACAGCTGAGCTATTTAAGTTCACAGTCACCTTGGTGAACAGGTTTGACCGCCACCTGAGGAGCCTGTTGGCTAATTCCGAGGAATCTAAACAGCAAGTTCAGTTCCTGGTTGGCATCCTGTTTGGGGTGAATAATGTGAGTGAGTCATGTGGCACCAAGTTAATGAAAAACACGCCTATCAGCATTCGATCTGACAAGTGCAGCAATAATACAACATTTTCCATACATGTACTGCAACTGTGCATGTTTATTTTGGACAATTAGGGAAAATGACTACAGTTGTGACACAGACAATATGACTCAGTATGAATTCATAATGTTCAGATGCGTTTTAAATCAAAAACAAAAAGCACTAAATACACATTAAAAAACAAAAACAAACCTGTTTTGATAACAGTATGTCTGCAACCGGTTTGAGCTCAATCTTTTCCTGCTTTAATGACATCCAACACCCAAATCCACTGTCTGCAAAACACACCAATGTGTGTGGTCACCCATGAATAGATAGTATGGGAGTGGTGAGTACAGTCATTCAGCCATCAGGGTGCTAACCTGCACTTTATTTGCATAAGGTGTGTGTATGGCGAGCACACACAGCAGCAGCACAGTCACTATGAGACTGATTAGAATTAAAAGAGGCGAGACTTACAGGTTTAGGAGTAGTTTGACATTTTGGGAATGATTTGCTTTCTTGCCAAGAAATATCAGAGAAGATTGATACCACTCATATCTGTATGATAAATATTAACACCAGGAGTCACTTAGCTTAGCATTAAGACTGGAAGCATCAGCTATCGTGGCTCTGTCCAAAGGTTTCAAAATCCACTTTACCAGAACCTCTAAAGCACTAATCATCATGTTATACGTTGTCTCCAGGAAGTCACTAGGCCTAAACCTAAGCCTAAAAAACATTTCCGTTTTTATACAGATTAAGCAAACAAGATATAACATTTTAATTAGTGAGCTTTTGAGGTGCTGGCAGGTTGATTGTGTTATCTGTAGACAGAGCCAGGCCATCTGTTCCCCCTGCTTCCAGTCTTTATGCTAAGCTAAGCTAACTGGCTGCAGCATTAAATTTACCCTATAGACATGAGAGTGGTATCAATTTTCTCATCAGACTCTCAACAAGAAAGTGAATAAGCTCATTTTCCTAAATGTCAAACTATTCCTTTAAAGAAACACAATTAATGTTCACAGTATTTGAAATTGCATAATTTCAATGAAAGTAACTGAGCAGCAAATATCGAAGTGAGACTTTTGATAGATTAAATAACACATAAGCAATGAAAAGCTGTATACACAACATTACTGAGGAAGTTTCCTGTCTTAAAGACTCTTTTCTCTGCTTGTGTTACTGTCACACTAGTATGTATATAAGTGTGATTTACAAAGTTAAAAGGAAATACAAAATAATTCACTAGTGCATTGTTTTGGTTTATTTAAGCATGAGTGGTTAAAGAAAGGCTCCAGGATTTGAACGAGGATCTTTGAGGTTTCTGTATTTGTGGGCGAGCCAAACTCCAAGGATCTGAAAAGAAAGAAAAATAGGTAAGTGTCAAAACTTCATCCCAGCTCAGTCTATCTCAGTCTTTCTCAATGTCCAAATCAGCACCTATTCACAACAAATTCCACATTTCTAAAACACATCTGTTGCCGTGACATTTCACTGACCTCTGTAAAACTGAAGAAGAGTCCGATACCACCCACAAACTGCAGCACCTCTCCAGCATACTGCTGGATAATGTCTGAGCAAGTGTTACAAGACGGCGAAGAGGTGTTGTGAAAGCAGCTCTAGAGGAAGTGGAAAAGAAAGAAAGAAAATTCAGTAACTGCCAGAGATCTTGCAAATGATGACCACGTGGCTGCCACAAGGACAAAAAAGAAAGGTATGTTCAAGGTGATTTACTTACAGCAGCACAGGTGCCATTGTAGTTAACATAATGGAAGCCACAACAGTCAAGTGTTTTCTCTACGTCCTTTTGAGTTTCTTCAGATTTGTTCCATCCAACCTCCAGCAGATGGTTCTGGAAATAAAATCACACAGTCTGGTTGTGTCTATAGAGGTGTAAAAGCTGCATTTATTTGAAAAGCATGAGAATAAAAACTGTATGGATCACTCAACATATTTGGTAGTGTTCATGTTTATCTGAAGTCAACTGCTGGCCAAAATAACGGTAATATTGAACTGTAGTTCAGCACAGACAAACATAAACATACCTGTTGGTCTTTATTGAGGGCCAGACAAGCACAGGACACAGAAAACTGCACGACAAACACTAGGAACAGGATCATCATGTACTGGATCAAGTTCAGGAAGTTAACATCTCACCATGAAAACACAACTTAAACGAAGAATAAAATCCTTCACACAACTACTATCAGAAGGGGTGAGGTGACTCCAATTGCTCCTATAAATAAACCCCACGAAAGAAAACAAAAGGATACGAAGAAGAGCAGGACCTGGTGGTGCTTCAGAGCGCCACACAGCCCCACAAAGGCAACCACGAACAGGAATGTGCCCACGCCGATGACCCCCGCCACCACTCTGATGCTGGAGACCAGGCCGAACCATTTCCCCCAGGCCGCCACTCCAATCAGCAGCAGGCTCACCAACTGAGGAAGAAGAAAACAATGTCAGAATGAAAGAAGGAGGAAGTGCAATCAAAGTGACCTTTTTAAGGAAGTCTCTACACCAACAACAATAACAGTGTTTTAGAGGGCCAATGCTGTATACCCGCTGGTTGGGGTGTGTTAGTTGGGGTAAAAACTAGTATACTTGTGGGGTTCAAATCCGACTTGCGGCCCTTTGCTGCGTGTTGTCATCCCCTCTCTCTCTGCCCCCCTTTTCTGTCTGTCTCCAGCTGTCCTGTCAAATAAAGGCATAAAAGCCGAAAAGAATATACTTAAAAAAAAATAAATAAATAATAAACTAGTATACTTCTATACACTCTGATCAATTAACATATCCTTTTCTCTCTGTTTCAGGCCACCGTCCAGACAAAAATATGGCATCACCCTCAAAACGGTGTCCAGAGTTTGTAAATCTTAAAATGACCTTGTCAGTCAAAACAATTACAGTTTCAGTTTTTCTACTAAAATCTCACGGCTCTCAGGGTTTATAGGAACTTCCTTTCCTTCATGGTGGAGGTTGTGTGGGTCTTACATGTAGCCCTGAGAAAAGACTGCAGGCTTTACTCAGGGCTGCATGTCTTTATGGTTAAAGATAATAATTTAATCTTTATTTTTATAGATTGATGTACAACTGTTGATGAAGGACAGGGCTCTCTGTTGTAAAGATGCAAATACATAAAATGTCAGGTGTCTATCAAGGAAACTTAACATTATTGTATTAAAGAGATTTAAATAACATTTGTATTCTTTCTAAACACTATACTATAAAAATATAATATATTTGAGGAGCCTGACTTCAAATGCCTTAAATATATTCTATGTTTACTCTTATGTATGACAGAGAAAAGCTCCAATTCCTCACACATGAGAAGCTGGAACCAGAGAATGTTTAAAAAAAGGATTAATCGATTATCAAAATAGTTGCAGATACATTTTCTGTCAATGAAAAATCGACTACTTGTTGCAGCTCTAATCAAATCTATCTTTGGTGTTTTAATAATGATTGGAAGAGGACTGAGGTCATCCAGGTGAGTGGATATTAAGAAGGTCCCAGGTTAAAGGCAACTGGACTACATTTTAAAATTGTATTAATTACTTATAAGGCCTTCCATAATCTGACTCCAGACTGCATCAAAGAGCTTTTTAACCCCTTACAGCCCAGCCAGGCCCCTCAGATCAAAAACTTTTAAAGACCAAAGGTGCATAATTCAGTTACGGCTCCTCAGCTTTACAAGATGGCCTACACTTTACATTTTTTACCTTTCATTATTCTATAGTGTTTTATGTCATCACATAATGCATTTGAATTGTGCCTGTTTTAGTATCATCAGTTTACTCTTTTTATATAAATATATTAGCGCTTTTATCTTGTTCTTAATATTGTATGTTCATGGGTGGTACATACTAGGACTTCTAGGTTCCTGATTGTTATCCATGTTGTGTTTATGTTTTAATCTGGAAAGCACTTTGTGCTTAAGCTTGAAAGCTGTAGTGAAACAGATAAGATATAGCTAGATTAATTGATTTATCTTATTTTTTTACAACCTTATTCAAATATGCAGAACAGGGGATGACTGATACACTTCTGAATATGTAGCAGCTCCACGGCTACTGCATGACATAACTCAGGGACATAAGGAATAAATTAAATGACTTACTATAAGAGTATAAGAGTTGACAAAAACACCAATCTCCGGATGATTAATCGTTTTTTGTGCTTTTCGTTTACAGAGTTTGTTTAGGTATTCATAACCACTTCAAATATATATTTTTAGGTTTATTTATCATTAAGGATTCATTCTTACCTAGGACTAAAGCCAACAATTATGCAAAAGCTGGCGAAAGCAATTAGCAGCCATGAACTGGGTTTAATCATTTACCGAGAACACCTGCCTGTGGCTGATAGGAAGCAAACATTTTGATCTCCTATTAAACCAACAAGTATGTGGCGCATTTCAGAGGCTCAGTCAAGACAAAAGCAGAGACACTTGTTGCCATTTTAAAATCAGTTGTTCTTAGGAACTCCTCTCTGTTAAATATCCATTGACATCTTACTTACAACATAAAGTATATTGAGAGCGCTGAGTGCGTTCTTGGTGCAAACGAATCCGCCGCAAACCATCTCTGCTCGCCGGGACAGTCCTTAGAATCAAATATATTTCTATTTCTTCAGCCTGTTGGGAGAACCTGTGTCAGTTCTGAGATGTGGCTCCTTGTGGCTCCTTGTGGCTCCGGGTCTGCAGGTAGGAACAGCTGGGAGCGTTTCCTGAAGAGATCCTGTTCGCTGATTTGTCAGAGTCATGAGTCATTTATTGCTCTTCGTGATACCTGCTCGTTTTATTGTCAGACACAAATAAACCCTGATCATTAAGTCTCTGCTGATAAAACGTTACTAAACAGACTTCTTCACTTTGATACTATACTTTATATTTATTAAGACATGTTTCATTTGTTGTAGAAGAAACAAGATGCTCTAATAGTTTTACAACATCCGTGAATATCAGTTCATATCATATAGATGGCTATAGCCTAGATATAGTGTTTGTGTTTACTTCACTTTGAATAAATAAATAAATTAGATGGATTTCCAAATTAAAGAACTTCAGAGTCAAATCATTCTCCCCACATTATGGGCTCCCCCTTGTGGTTACAAATAGATACTACCAGTAAAGGGCCCGTGCCCTAATTCAGTTAAGATAGCTGTGTGATTACATGGAGACTCAGTTATAAAGGCATTTACATATTCATATCTCACCATCTGCTGTGTTACAGCATATTTTGTGGACAAATGTCAAATCTGTCAATAGATCTATAAATTACCTGCTTTTTAAAAGTCTGTGTAGTCTCTCACTCCATCATGCAGTTAATCTCTTCCAGTAGGATCACCTTCCATAATCTTTTACTTTTGAAAAACACAGAAACCATTTGATTGATTAAAATTGGCATAAAATGTGTCAGATAATATATAAACTCAGCCCAGGGAAATCATGAGTCATAAGCAATTTGCATGAATGTGGGAAAAATGTTTACTTCTTTACATACTTTTGGCACTAGGTTGTAGGTAAACAAACAACAAAGTCTTCAATAAGTAATAAGAGAGGTTATTCTTCAAGACACATCAAAAGAGGAACACAGAAATGATACCAGTTGTATGTTTTGAACTAAACAGCCAGCGACTGTAACGCTATATAATGTCCTTTGATAAAGAAAATGTTTCAGGCTAAAAGGCATACATACAGTAAGTCCTTAACAACAAGTAGCAGTCAAAATAACCACCTGATGCTGTGAAGAGAAGAGTTTAACTCTGTGAACAATTTAGCTATTTTAACTTTTGTATCTATACACATAATAATAACACATCTGATGGCCTGCCATTAACCCAGTGCGAAGTGGTGACATTTGCTCCTGGTCACCACGCGTGTCATAAACATCAAAACCCCCAAAACCACAATTTGTCATTCTTACAACATTCTACCAAAAAAGAAGAACTACAGGTCATATATAGTCCTCTGTCTGAAACTTCACCAAGCGTCACTGAAGATGACCTGCGTTTAAGCCTCTGTGGTGGTTTGGATTGATGTTTCTGTTTTTTGAGAGAAAGTGAAGACTTTTTATGATAAACCTGATCAAATAATGGAGGAAGAACTGAATTATGTGACGGTGGTTTTCAAGACTAAAGGTATTACTAAGCATGGTGAGTCACATATTCTGTTTTTGTTTTTTGGAGCACAGCCTGCACTGGTAGTTAGTACTAAAGCAATGTAACTGAGCTTCTGACAATGGTGGAAAGTAACTAAATACATTTACTTAGTATTTAAGTAGATTTAAGGTACTTGTATTTTACTTGGCTTTTTCTATTTTCTATGTCCTGCTACATTTAGGTGGGAAATACTGTAACTTTTTACTCCACATTTATTTGATAGAAGTTATTATTTGCAAAGTAATATTTTACATACAAAACACAATATGATACCCTGTTCTTCTACCCAGTTTAAATTAGTTACACTGAAGTGCTGCTTACAGAATAATCAGTTGACATAAAATATAATTAAACACTGATTGCAGTTGTTATATTTGTACTTTTGATACTTTTTACTAATTGTTTTTACTGAATAAGAATGCAGGACTTTAACTTGTAATGGTGTATTTTTATATTGTGGTATTGCAACTTTTATCTTAGTAGCAGACAGTATTTTTTTCTTCACTTCGCTTTAAAGCTGATTTACGATGTATGATGTTTGTGGCTCAAACACTCTCACATTGCAACATTTTAAATTGCTTAACAGCATGTGGTGTCTTTGGAAACTTTATGATGTCAACTAAAAAACTAAAACACTGCAAAAGCTCTGTGGTAGTTAACAGTGTTTGGCATGACAAAATGTGCACTATATCAGCTATTAGTCTGTCATAACATAAATAATAGTTATAATCTTGTCTGATAGCATTATGATAAACATCAGTCAGTAATGCGAACAGGAGGTACATTTCTAGACATGCCAGGTATAGATGCCACACTGCAGACCAGGAAGTGAGTCTTGATAGTCACGAAACATTTCATTTCCTTTAAGCTCTTTTCCTTTTTGCAGAGGAACCAAAAGACATGGAAATAATCTATGAAGACATAAAGAATGTGGAGCAGACATGGGATACAAGTCCTGTCATACCAGGTTAATTGTGGTTTACCATGATAAAACTATTTAATAACAAGTTGCTATAAATTAGTAGGCTATAATACATTGTTTTGGGGTTTTTTGTGTGTGTGTTCTTGGTAGAAAAAAAAAGGAAAGCTCCACTGTGTACTCTGCTTCATCTGGTGGCAGCAGGTTTGGGGATTATCTGTGTCATCTTGGTGACGGTCGTCATCACCCTCAGTATTCACTGTAAGTCTTTCTACCTGTTTTTAAGGATTTTCAAGGCAGTTTGACAGTAAAAAGTGCAACAGTAACGGTTTCTTCCCTGACTGAAGTCAACACAGTTATGTCAGAGCAGTACAGAGAAAACACCAACTTGACATCCCAAAATCTGCAGCTGTGGACAGAAAAGACCAATTTAGAGAGACGGACAGAAGAGCTGACCAGAGAAAAAGACGGATTAAACTGGACCATCAGCGTAATCCTGGAACATGATATGTTCCAGGTGACTGCCCACTGCCCACAGAAAGGTAATAACATGGTATACTCCAGTCTGTTTAGGTTTTATCACCTCTGCTGAAAGAAGTAAAGATATTCATCTGCTGTTGAGAACAGCTAATATCACGATTGAAAGCCATGGATAATGACAGCAAGGAATTTATGCACAAGGAGGACTGAATGTAGGATAGAACGTAAAATAAACTACAGGCCTTTATGCAAAAAGTCTACGTGACTAAACTTTCTCTAGAGCTTCATTAATTTCACTTAAAGGTCCAGTCTGTAGCATTTAGTGACATCTTAGTGGTGTAGTTGCAGATTGAAACTCCTTTGATTGACCCTCCTCGTCCAAGCATGATGGACAAACTACAGTGGCAGCGAAAAAACACCCCTATCTAAAGCCAGGGTTTTGTTTATCCATTCAGGGCTACTGTAGAAACATGGCGGCTCAACGTGCCTTCACAGAAGGCAACCTGCAGCTTCTGTAGATAAATACAGCTCATTCTAATGTACAAAAAACAAAACAATTCCTATATTCAGGTGATTATACAATAAAAAAAAATATATCAGGATTTTTATATTCCATTTATGCCAATAGAGCCTCCTAAATGTTACACACTGGACCTGTAACTTTTAGGGTATTTAGATTTTCATTTATTTTGGCTCTCCGAGTGGAATTACCTGAAGAGAGGGATAAAAGAAGATGTTTTAATTATTCAAAAGATATATAGAAAATATACATTTCTAAATACATATTTATGTAATACAAAATGATCATGATTTTGTTTTCTCTGTCATGTTTAACAGTGTGTAAACCTTGTCTGGACGGCTGGGTCCAGTTTCAGTTGAGCTGTTATAGGTTTTTTGATAACTATTGGAAGAGTTGGGAGGGAAGTCGTGACAAATGCGAAGAAATGAAGGCAAATCTGGTGGTGATTGAAAGCCAAGAGGAACAGGCAAGACTTACTTCATTTGATTTAATTTGTGTTGAAACAAAGCTTATCCTAATTTCTTTCTATGTTTTTAATGTTTCTACTTTTTGCATGTCATTCTTTGTGTATTTAAATCATTATTATTATATTATTGCAAAGGCATTATTTTCTTAATCAACACCTGTATCACAAATGTAGGAATTCATCAATAACCACACCAAAGTGGGTGATTATGAAGATTATGGCTATTGGATTGGCTTGAGCAGCAAGGATGTGATGGGCAAGTGGATGTGGGTCGATGGAAGAAATGTCTCTGTGATGTAAGTGCAAAAATACACACACAAGCACCAAAAGTTCCCACATAACCTAATTTTGCAGTAATTCGGACACGTATGTTTGTCATTGCGCTAAATAAACCAGACCATTGGCAAGGTGATTGGCGGCCTCTATCCTAGACTGTTTGTGTCACTGAGTTGTAAAGAAATCTGATGGAAGCAAAACTATTTAAGTACCTTGAAGTGGCAGATGGTTCTCCTACAAGCTTCACGTGAAATACAGATGCGAGCAATGTTCAGTTAGTTGCAATTTGAAACTTTACCGCTAGATGCCACTAAATCCTACATACTGGTCCTTTAACTGTAAGCATTAGCAAAGACATTAGGGAAACATTTTGGGAAATTCACTCATTGGTGTTCTTTTTTTCTCAGAAGAATAATATCACTCTTGTGTCAAACTATGAAGCTATAACCAGCAAGCAGTTAGCTGTGCATAAACACTGGAAACAGGAATAAACAGTTAGCCTGGCTCAGATCTACGAATCAGCACCTCTTAAGCTTGTAAATTAACATTTCATAGCTTGTTTTGGAGTGTGTGTAGTAAGTATGTATAGGAGGTTATGTGCATTTCTTGGCTGTGACTTCCTGGAGACAAGAAAACTCCAAACTCCAACCAAACCAGCATAACTTGTTAATTAGTGATTACCTCAATGCCAAATATGACAAGACAAGAGAATATAAATAAGATGACATGTATTCCTTTAGACACCAGAACAATGTAACTTTAGAAAAGAAAATTGGGAAACCATGATTCTTAGCATTAGAAATCCTTTTGTGTATTTTAAAAGAAAAACTTTTCATCAAGCAAATTCAGACAGTAGCCTATAGATCACTTCCACAGCTGGAAGGCAGAGCTTGCATTATACTGTGATATTGTTCCTTTCTGTTTAAAAGACAAAACAATGGTGAAATCTTCACGCAGTGAAAGCATTTTTTTCACTAGAGGCCATGATAATGAATTGGCAACTGTAAAATAAGCTCTAGTTTCCCCATTGTTTATTAAACTGAACTGTAATCTCATAATGTTTTGTTCTGTGTGTAATGGATTACAGTCAACTTTTTTTCGTACCCTGTAAATGTCTGCAAGAAAGCGTTTTGCAGACACACAGATCGATACCATGTGAATTATTTTCTTCTTTAGGTACTGGAGGACACAAGAACCTCTCCACGGAGTAGCTTGTGCTCTTACTCTGCCACATGCAGCTCCTCTGGCCAACTGGAACAAAGCAAACTGTGACAAGAGGAACCAATGGATCTGTGAAAGGAAAACCTTGATCAAAGAATCAGCTGCACAATCCAAATTGATTGTTTAACGTTTAGGAAATCTATCTAAGCTGTTTGTCGGTTAAAACGGATGGTGTTTTTCCTGTTTTTTAAAGATGTAAGCACATTTTTTTGTCTTTTTCTAATGTATGTTCTAATTTAAAGTATCCATTTCTACAAATGTTGCACAGTACACATCATCTTTGAGTTACATATCAGGCTTGAATACTACAAATAAGAAGATAAGAATGCAAACTGAATAATCATCTATCTACTTCTTGTTATAATATCCTGTTTATATTCCTTGGACATACACACTGAGTAGCCACTTTATTAGGTAAACCTGTACATACAATCTGCCATAAATGTTATCTTTACTACATAGTTTATAATGTTCAGAGTTTGTTTTGTCTTTTTCCTTTTTGTTTTTTACACACAGAGGTTTTAATTCAACTATATGTTTTGCACTTTTTACTAAACTGAACTGTAATCTGATAATGTTTTTTGTTCTGTGTGTAATGGATTACAGTCAGCTTTTTTTCGTATCCTGTAAATGTCTGCAAGAAAGCGTTTTGCAAGCTGCAGTTTGTCAAGTGTTAGGGGGAAGAGGAACATCTACCCGTTTGTTTTCCATGGGGTCATGCTGTGAGCTAACTAACTGAACACCATTCATCTATGTATTTGGCAATCTGGTAACAAGAACAGGCTGTGAAATGTATAGGAGAAACTATGATGGCCACGAAAACAGCGAAAAGCGCAAAAGGCCCAATCTACAGTCAGTATTTGGTTTGTCCGTTCCGGGCTACTGTAGAATCACAGCAGCTCGATTGTTATTTTCAGGTGATAATACACAAATGAAAACATACTTAACTTTGAAGTATAATTATGTTCCATTTTTCACAATATCTCTTGCTAAATGTTACTTTAGAATGAGCCATTTTTATCTACAGACACCCCACGGGCCGCCTTCCATTGAGGCCACCATGTTTCTACAGCAGCCCAGAACAGACAAATCAAATACTGGCTTAAGATAGGGCCATTCCTTATTCTTTTGTGGCCACTGTAGTTTCTCCCTTGCGGTTAGAAAGGGAGGGTGAAATGAATGAGTTGCAATCTGCAACTACATTGCTAGATGCCCCTAAATCAGACATATTGGATCTTTAATAAGTAACTATATCGGATTAAATTTTTTAAAGTAACCCTCCAAAACCTAGTAGTAGAAAAACCTGGTGTCAGAAAAATGTCAAAACACAAACAAACTTAACAGTGTATTACAATGCAAAATCGACAACACATTTTCCATGCAGCCATGATAACAATGATAATGAATTACTTCATTATAATTACAATCATGGTTTGAATATGAGCTTCCTCATAACAAGCAGATGGTGAAGCAGCTGCACACTATCACTTTCGTGTGTTGGCTGTGTTTTTGGGGATACTTTGTGTCCTGGTGGCGAGCATCAGTGTCATCATCTACAGTGAGTTTCATTTCAACACACCAGAGTATACTTCAATAAACAGTTATAGCAGCTTACACCACATTTAGACCAACTGAGTCTGTCTGGGATGTCTTCTACAGAAAAAAAATGCGTATGTGAGTTCAGCTTTCTCTGAATTGTGCGTACTTGCTGCCGTTTAGGAGTACATTTTTTTCTTTAGTCTACTGATTACAAGCCTGTACAGCCTATTGTACGATACATTATTTTTCTAAACATTTTCTAAGCATATTCTATGTTTTTAAGTGGATTTCTTGGAAGTTGTCAGTTCATTATGCTCAGATCTAAGAGTTGCTTAAGACAGATAATCTATAAATCACAGTGATAATTCATTAGCTTTCCTAAAAGTTTGGTTAACACCTGTTGACTGCTAAGGCATAACTCTTTAAAGCAAGAACTTAAACTGGTTATTTTTATTTTTAAGAGAAATAGAGCTTAGAGAAAATAATACTTCTCTGATAACACCAAATGCATGCACTGATTGACTGATGTGCTTCTCACCATAGTCAGTGTGTTAATGAATAAACAGAGAGGAAATCTCAGCAACCTCACAGCAGAAAATCAGCAGCTGATAGTGGAAATGAGCATCTTAGAGAGAGAGAGAGCGGAGCTGAGCAGAGTCATCCTGAAATTTAACACCTTTCCAGTAAATAAATCCTGCCCAGAAAAGATTAACACCTTGCTATGTTAGTACACAGAGTCCACAAGGGTAAAAGTAAATTAATGAAATACAGAACAGTTAGCTAGTCCAACAGTAGCGATAAATTAACAGCTGTTACTTAGAACGCTGTATTAGCAACACATTAGCAAATAACAGAGTACTTTCTCCTGATTCCAGAAAAAATATATTAACTAAATCACAAATGGACAATCACAGAACAGCTAAATAAGAACTGATGCGTACATGGTAATGCATGATTTTAATCCACTTTATAGCATATCATTCTCAGATAGGGGCCATTTTGCACAATACGTATACTTTTACTTTCAATACATTCATTTTAATAACTACTTTTACCTAAGAATCCTAGTACTTCTTGCCACAATCATTGCCTCCTTACTTTTAGTGAGTGAATAACTTTTGGATTGATGCTTTCAATCTCAAGCTTAAGCCAATACGGATGAGAAGTTCTTAAAATGCTCAGAAATAATGAAAATAATAAATAATGATGAATAATGAATAAATAAAACTGGGCAAATTTCATCTGCTGAGGCAATAAAGGGAAGTATTTATTCTGTCTTATGAATATGATGATGATTCAACATGTACTACAATGAGGTAATTTTACATCCAGGAACACTGCATGCCTTTAATACATCAGTTGTGCCTGTTGTAAGCTATTGAGAAAATCTGTTGACACATCTTATGTCCTTCCCCTCGTGAACTTTATGATTTATCCTTTTCACCGGTGCAAGTCAGAGTTCAGAAAGTTCAGTTATTTGTGTAAAAAAGACAGAAAGAAGAAAGTCTATAGGCTATTTTACATGGGGAGTTACAAAACAGAACATAATGTGGCATTTTCTGGGTATTCTGAACTGATGAAATAACTAAAGGGCAAAGATATAAATAGCAGCACCATATTTTAGATGTTGACACTGTTGCATTGGGAATATTTAGTAGCATTTTGAGTAGTGTGGTGTGTCAGGAGACTAAATGTACTATAGCTGTTTAACAGTGTGACCTTTTTAAAAATGATTTATTCAAGGAAGTTTCCAACTCACTCAGAAATATCCATCAAGTTTGAGGGAAAAAAAGTAATCACAAAAAAAGGGCCAATACTATATTTTGTAGAGATGGTTGGATAATACTGAAGCTGTGAAGTTTGCTTCATTTCTGTGAATCTCACTGTTGCAGTACATTGTGTGAACAGGTAATGCTTATATCCAATGAATACCACACGATTGATGAGGTCTGAAACTTTAAATGTCACCGATGCTTCAAAGAGCAGCTTCATTTAGTTTGACAAGATGCCCCCCTCTCTTGACCTTCAGAAATTACATTTGGAACTGCAGCTCTGCAGAATTTTCATTGAAATGCATTGTGGCCAGGTAAAGTCCTAAAATGAGAAGGATGTGTATGGGGTTACTACAAAATAGTTTGTAAAAGGCTAGAAGCTAAAGTTTTACATTAGTGGTAACAGTGCCTGAAGTTTTAGATTCTGGCAAATACAAATGCAGCACAGAGACAAGTCATATGTAATACAGGAATATACCCAAATAAAATGATGTAGGTGTCACTGGCCAGGTTTTCACTTGTATAATATATAACTTGATTAGTATACAATTTACCTGCAGAGCATCCCCACATATGAAAAGGCCACTCTTTTTGGAGCAAAATGTAGTATCAGACTGCAGAACCCCTCTCAGGAAGTCGTTTTGTAGAGGACTCATCACGAGAACAACCTTGTTCATTAGTACCTTCTCCAGCTCATAGGCGGCCTTTGTTGTTAGTGGGGATGAAAAGAGAAGAACAAATACATGAAAGATAATGAGTGCATAGCAGCTGAGAGTATATTACAGGAGGTGTTATGGTAGGCGGATGACTGAATAAATCTGGTCACAGTCACAGGGTTAGATCAAAGGACCATTTGTGTTGAAGGCCTAAAACCATCACGTGATTTACAGCAGTACTGTTAATAGGATACCAGATGTGTTTTTGGTTGGATGTACTGAAAGGTATATAAGGGAGAGCATTCTGGAAGTCTAGGGACAACATCTATGCTGTGGTCTTCTCTCCATGCTGCGTGAGTAAAGGAACTTGATTCATCACCCTGGGTTTGTAATTCTTCAGAGAGCTAGCAACTCTATATTATAGAAGAATTTCTCCTACACCAGGCTTCAGCGACTTCAGATGGGAGGTGGTGGAACTTGGGGAAGAGGGGGTATTCATGGACATGCACATGTCGTAGAATGTCAGCTGAGCAACAGATGTCCCACTTCGCCAGGTGGCCGGGAGGTGGTTTTTTTATGCTTTTTAAGCCACAGTTTGACCTTCTTGCAGTCCTTCTCCTTAGAGATGGTGTTGAACCGTTTCAAAATAATGTAAAACATTTTTGGGTGTTGTGGGTGGGTGTTAATGTTGCATGGGATTAGCTGTGCTAGAAATTATCAATAAAATTACATTTCCTAGGTTATCCTACCTTTACATAAATGCCACATCATCATAAAAGCAGTCAATGTCTGGTTTCTGTTCTCTTGAAAACTTGTGAACCTGGGAGTGTCTGTCCGTCTTGGGAGAGGGATCTCACTTTCTGTTGCTTTTCCTGAGGTTTCTTCCATTTCCCCACTGTTGAAGGTTTTTTTGGGGGGGGCGATTTTTCCTCAACCAAATTGAGGGGTTAAGGATAGAGGGTGTCGTATGTTGTGAAGACTGTGAAACCATTTGAGGCAAATTGTGATACTGGGCTTTATAAATAAAACTGACAAAAACAAACAAAACAAATCACACAAGTTAGATGCATCATAAAATGTAGTTTGCATATAAAGGTCAAACTTTAATGTAATATTGGTTTCATCCATTTCATGTGTACTTCCATGTCTTTCCTCCTTTCAATAAAATGAACAATTATTTTTGATTTAGAAACTACAATACATTCTTGGCATTTCAATTTAAGTTTCCACACAAAGTGGTCAACACAGGCAATTTAATTGGCACCAGTTCTAATGAGTTCACATGTCCCAACCTACAAATGTCAACATTGACTTGATTTGTAGGACAGCTGGGTTTGGGCTGCACCATGTGGATTAGCAGAGACCGTTGACTCATTAAATCAATGATTTATAGGCTCAAACTAAAAAGATCCACTGACTGATAGAGCAACACATTTCATGTTGTATACAATCAACAATCTTAAAAAGTCTGCATCACCAACAAATGACCTGGTTCCCTCAGTCACTTGAACATCAGCAGCAGGTTATAAACTCCACAGTTCAGACAATATTGATTGAAAAATTACAGGCAGAAGAGACACAACTGCTGGGTGTCATTACCTGGTGACTGGTCTGAATGACTAATTAAAGATATTCTCCAATCATTGGAAAATATCTAAATTAGTTTACAGGCCAGGTCGAATGAGAGAGCACAGCCTCCATGAAATCCATGTTTGGCACATTAACTCACCACAGCTGATTGAAGGTAATGCTAACTTTACCAATCAGCCAGGAAAACCTGTTTATCAATGTCCAAAACATTTTTTATCAAATACTACTCTTTGGACTTCTTCTTTTTCTTCTTTGGAGGAAGTGCCTCCTCGTTCGTACTGTCATCTATAGAAGATTTGTCCTTTTTACACTTTTTCCTTTTCTGCTTTACTGTCGTTTCCTCCTGTGTAACTTCGGCTTCCTCCAACAGAGCTGCAGATTTTTTCTTCTTGGTTTTTGGAACACAGTGCTGGACCGACTCTAACTGGCTAGATTCTGTATCATTACTCTTCTCTGCCTCAGCAGGTTCACTGTGGTGTTTGGAGGATTTCTTCTTTTTCTTCTTCTTCCTCACGTTTGTGTCAGTCTGTAGCTCGGCAGTCTCCTCCGGACTTTCTGCTGCAGGTGAAGCTGCTCTTTCTTCTTCATTCAGTTCTGCATTTTTGTTCTTTTTTTGACGTTTCCTCTTTGTTTTACAGGAATGGTCTGCTTCCCCGTCTTCTATGCAGATCACATCCCCCTCAGTGGAAAGTGCATTGGTTATTTCCTCAGTGTCCTCACTGGCTTTCTTTGTCTTCTTCTTCTTCTTTTTGGGTTTAACATCTTTTTCAGGACTTTCAGACACTTCATCACCATTAGGTTCATTAATGCTCCCAGTGGATTTTTTCTTTTTCATCTTTTTTCTCTGAGAGTCCTCGTCCATCTGCTCCTGCACCTCAGGAGAAGATGACTGGGAGGTTGGTGGAGACGGTGTAATGCAGACTGCACTTGCTGGTTGGCTCTTCTTGCCGTACTTAGCCATGAATTCAGCCTCCTGCTGCTCTAGCCTGGCTAACTTGGCACTCATGGTCAATCCGTGCCGAGCTCCTCTAGAGAAACACAACAGAAATGCGTCCGAAATTAGGTCCTTTATTCCTACATTTACTTATTCTGAAACAAAATTAATCTAAAACACAAGAATTAATTCTGTTTTGTGATTTTTACTAAAAAACTGTAAATAACAACAACAATCATTGTCATTTCTGCTTCAATTGTTTCATGTATTACAATTTTCAAAATACACAAAATTTGACTATAGACTGCAGTTATCAGTATTTGTTTTTCATCCAGACCTGAATTAATTAAACAAATGAAATCTTTATCACTTTATCATTACTAGTGATAAATCGGACATGAGAAGCAGGTAATTACCAGCATTGGCAAAAAAAAAAAAAATGCAGTCGATCAATAGTTTAAACTGCAGCGTTCTCCAGTTCGACTCAGATGTTTCTCAACTTTGTTGAGAACTGCTCATCCAAACTGGACACTGCACTCCCTTGGATGGCCAAGTATGAAGTTGACTGGATGAATGGTCCTCGAGATATGCAAACAAAGGCAGTGAAAGACTAATTCTTTTAAAGTTAGATGAACTTACTTGTGAGCCGTGCGTCCTCCACACACCTTCATTAGATCAGAATCAGAAAGCCTGTTGGGTTGTATCAATGAATTAATTATATTGTATAGCACTCTTAAAAATGTTAAAAACTGATTGATTATAAAGAAATTAAATTGACAATAATACATCCGGAATGACATAACAGTTTAAAAAGTGCTTTGCAGTTGTAGTCATGTTGACGCTGATAACATGTTATGCAGCTTTTGATGGAAAAAACAAAACAAAAACACAACTATAAATCTGAAGGCTGCTGCAGATGAATCTCTTACATGATGGTGCTGGAGAGATCCAATTTCTGGTCCTCCTCTTCCTCCTCCTCCGAGCTACTGCTGTCGTCTGAGTCTGAAGACTTTGGCTCTGGCTGCTCCTGACCAGACAGCAGTGTGGCTGACTGAGAGAGAAGCATGGAAATAAAATCTTTGTCAGTTCAGCAAGAATCAGTCAAATGTGAAAATACAATAAATGTACAGATATTCTTGCTTGTCTGCTAATTAATCCTACATTAGCAAACAACAAATAGACAGATTACCTTGACAAAGCACCCATAAAGTTTGGCTTTAGCCAGCGAGGCCTGCCGTGGCTTTTTATTGGAGATCATCGTATCCTCTTCATCCTCATCCGCTGTCTTCTTCAACTGAATACCGTTCTGGATTACACAGAAAAACCAGAAAACACGTCACCTTCTGTCAAAGACTAAACCAGATGATTTCACTCATTTTTAAGAGAGGAGGAACACATCAGTGCTGAAGTGGTGTTGGTGTGGAAAAAATAAGTTGCTTGTTGAAAGTTTGGAGTTGAAGGATCTAAACATAGCATTCATATATGGTTCAAATTCGTCAACCTGCTCCCAAAAATATCCCCACAGTGAACCATCTAAGCAGCTAAATACATCTACATTCACAAGTGGAGGAGGTGTCAGTGAGTGAAGATTTCACAGGTATGAATCAGCGGTAACCTTTGCAAATCTTTGACTAATAAATCAAAGGGAAAAAAAGCTGAATATCACAAGTGATTATTTCCTCATTCTGAAATAAATCATCCCAGAAAATAAATTAAAAAACAAATATCAAATGTACACAACTCGACTTGAATAACGTTTTTTACACATAGCAAGACTGCATCACTCACTACCTTTAGATTACAAATATGCTCAGGCTCCTGATCGTGTTGTGTTGAGTAAAGGTGATTGTGAGTATTTGACTGTGTTCAGCTTTGTGAAGGCGGGACGTACCTGATCAGATTCCACCTGCAGACTGGAAGAGGCCTTATTGAAGACATGATCCCACCAGTGGAAGGTAAACTGCTCCCCTTCCTTATGGCCAATCTGAAGGAGAGGAGCAACATGTGAGTCTACAAACAATAAAGCTTTATAGATATGGTACCAAAACAGTTATAGCAGTGCACCATTAATCTATTACAAGAGCAAATGCTGCATAAAACCAAATGTCACTCACCCCTCCTTTATCACATTTCACTTTGACCTTGATAGCCTCGGATATGCCATTCTCAGCTCGCCCCAGTCCTTTACCTGAGGACAGAGTGGACTGAGTAAGAAATCTGCTCTCGAGTCTGGCAGTGGTTCAACTGTTGCATGAAACACATGCAGTACATAGATATTCATACCGTGTTCCCAACCATGACGCAGGAGTTGCTGCTCTGCAAACCTCAAACCACGACCTTTCTCTTGTACAACTTCTGCCATCTGTATAAAAGACAGTTTGCAGAATATTAAGACTTGATTCATTTATTAGTGCAAAACACAATATACCCTGCATTCTTTGTTTCTGAAATAATGTTTTACTGCTAAAATAACAACAGTAGCTGCTAAAGCATGGTACACAATGGCATTTGACTATTTGTTTGGTAAGTGGTGGGGATCCCAAGATGATCACTAGAGAGGAGAATAAATGGATTTCTGCTACACAAAATTATGTTATAAATTAATATTTCCCTTGTGAATGACTTAATAATTTTGCCTCCTCAAGCGACTGAAGATTTTATGACAATAATACATCAATATTGAGAAAAAGAAAACAGTAAAAAACTTTTACACAAACATAATACAACCTATGACTTTGATTTAAGGAGTCTCAGGTCAAAAATATTGGGACATCTTATAGTAGTGAACATTTTGGACAACTTAATAAAATTAGGACAGGAAAGAACTAAAGTAGCAAAGTCAAAGCAGGACTTTAAAGAATCCCTGAACACATCAAAAGACCGTCACACAGTGCTGAATGTCAAACTCCTCTCGGTTACTGTCAGGTAAACAAGCAGATTTACATTTTCATGTTGTGTTATAACAAACCACAACTCGAAAACAGTGTTTATTAATCTATTAGTCAATCAATACAATGTTTATAGACACTATTCTGATAATCAATTGATTGTTTAAGTAATTTACCAAACAAAAAGGACAATGATTGGTTTCTTAAATGTGAGGATGTTTCATCTAAATATGTTTGGATTTGGACTTTTATGATGGGCTTTTTTCACATTTTAGACATTTTATTGACTAAATGATTAATTGATTTATCAAGAAAATAACTGACAGCTTATCTGTAATAGAAACAATAATAATAATCGCCATTAAGAAACAAGGTACCTACTTTTTTTACTGAATTTAGATCAAGTTTACTTTTATATCCAGCCATATAACGTTACCTCTGCATGCACTAATCTAACTATACTGATATATCTTTTATATGATTGATTATTTCAACAGGTTTTAAACAGGTTATGATTCTGTCAGCTCTTCTTTACAGTGCCATTAAAACACACACATTGTTCTGTATGCAACTCCTAACACTTGTGTCATGTAAACAAAGGTTTATTTACAGATTTTACTCTCTAACTACATCCTATAGCCCAAAAGTTGAACACCTCACAACATAAACTCGGTTGTATTTCATTTACAGCCTTTCGTCAGCTACCGTTTTACACTACACATCAGACATTAAACCCGATTTACCTTTGGACGTCTTGTTTTTATTAAAACGGCATCACTAAAAGCAGCAAATAAAATAAAACACTGATTTAAATGAAATGAAAATGCTAACCACGCGGTTTGAGCAGGAAGATGACATGACACCGGAAACACGTCACTGTCGCTACCGCCTTCTTTTTCTTCTTCTCCGTGTGATTTCGCAGCAGAGCAGACACACGTCGCTCGCCATAAAATAAAACGAGAAAAATCATTTTAATAAGTAATATATATAATATAATTACTTAAATCCGACATTAAAATCCAGTTTGAAGCATTTATATATATAATTTATATATTATTTCTCTCTTGCACTGTAATAACAGAGATGGATTATTTGTATGTAATGTTAAATATACAGGGGTGGAAGAATTACTGATAATGTTGCCCTGGAACTAATTACCATACTTTAAGTTATTTGGTAGTTCAACCCTAAACAATATATAAAATTAGGAACATATTGTAGGTTTTCTGTGTAAATTATTCATCTGCAGTCACTAAAGCTGAGCTAAATGTCGAGGAGTAAACATTTCCCTGTGAAATGTTGTGGAGTAGAAGGGTAAAGTATGTTAAAATGGAAATATCCAAGTACAAGTATACATCAACATTCTACTTAAGTGCAGTAATTAAGTTACTTAGCTATATTCCACCACTGGTTGACTTTTTCTTTTTAGATAATGGGAAATTATTCTCACTAAACTGAATCAAATTAAACACAATCACAGAAGAACAAAGACAAAATCTGGGTACTGCTATCGATTTATTAAGTATTCTCACTTTTTCAATACAGTATGTTTGAGTTTTTAATGACCGTCCCAGTGGTGAATTAGAGGATGTAGTAGCCATAAAAAACTCAGATGTCAGTAGATGGCAGTATTTCACACTAGAAGAATTAAACACATAAGAATGTCAAGTGATTCTCTTAAATGCATGCCTGGTACGAATGTGTGATGCTATTTACATCAATAGCATCATCTTCAATACATTCAACGAGCCATATGCGATAAATAGTGTTAATAAGGGGCGTTTTACTGGTTCAGACTTGCATGCAGAAGCAGAACTGATCTAATGGCTGTGCTCCTCTTGGATCACAACATATCTGATGGATGCATTATTCAGCAAATGACTTGCAACATTTCCCTTATGAGATTCCAGGTCAAAGGCCAGTTCACCTCTTCAGATGTTATCACACCTGACTGAAAACAGGTCCAGGCTCTGTGCCTCCCAAACAATGAGACACCATTTTCCATTAACTGTCGACTGAACTGAACTGTAGAAGAAGATCCAATAAAGCCTGTTTCTTTTCTTTCACAATTGATGCACATTAGACCACAGATTCCAAATTTAAGAGGATTTTGTCTTCAGGAACCCCTCAAAGTATTTGTTTTATTTTTAGGTTTGAAGATAATAAAGTCTTCATCGTCAATCAATGATCAATCTAGAATCACTATAAATAAAAATCAATCAAAAACGGCTATTTCTTCCCTTGTTGTTTTCGACTTCCAAAAAATGTGATAAAGGTTAAAATATCCTCCTTTTGCTGGGGACCCCAGTTTGAAAACCACTGGTTTAGCAGGTTCTCCCCAAATCTAATTCACACAGTTATAGGTTATTATATGATTTTTCTTAACTCTGGATCTGACATTTCAACCAGCAACAACTGTCAGGCATATTATAAATACAAAACTAGTAGAGATAAACTCTTGAGTGCAAATGCTAACGGTTTGTTTGCAGAGATTTGAATGTTAGGAATGATGTTTGTTTGGGTGTAATAGAAAGTTCCATCCTGGATTATTTCACTGAATACCTTTTCTGACCTTACAAGGACAACTAAAAGCAACACTGAAATGATACCTCCCCCTCTCTGTGTCTTCAGCATGGGACTGCTGGTCAGCCCCTATGTGGCCTGCAGGAAACAATTTTATTTCCCCCTGCTTTTGGTTTCCGTGCAGTGAGGATGTTTGCTCCACCAGGCCTCCATCCATGAGTTGTTTATCTGTGTCAGCACTCAGTAGGGGGGGAAAAAACACCCGTCCCGAACAGGCTGGTTATCATTGCTGGCCTACTGTTTGGGAGGAAGCTCTCCAACTGCAGGTTGCAAAGAGTGACTGACAGTTATCTCAGAGGAGGTTTTTACTCAGCTGTCAATAAAGAGTGTGTGTGAGCAAGGAAGAGAGTGTGAGAGACAGACAGGGGTTTTAATAGTTTTTTTTATGGTTTGAGCTAGAGAAAAAGGTGCATCCCCATCCAGGTCCATAAAGATATGTCTTTCTGAATTTTGTGTAGAAGATCTAGACTAGCCTGCACAGACCCCCAACCTTAACCCCATCCAACACCTTTGGAATAGATTGGAACACTGACTGTGAGCCAGGACCAGTTTTGGACCTCACTGATGCTCTGAAAAGCTGAATGGGATCAAATCACTGCAGCAAGGTTCCAAAATCTGGTGGAAAGAGTGATGAGTGATATAGCAGCAGCAGATTAATGCTGATAGTTTTGGAATGAAATGTATGAAATGTTCAACACAAATCAATGTAAAGCTCAGGTGTCCACTTTCCTCTTCGTAGAAAAGCAATAAAAGTAACAAAATGTAATAGTAAACAGTTACTGGATGGACATCAGTGACATTTGGTGAATATTAATGATACCAAATTATCTTGTTCACCTTTTCTGAAGCTTTTTGCCATCTTCTGGTTAGAATTTGCTCCATTTCAACACCTTGATCTTTATTCAAGCAATAGTTTGACACTGCGGAAAATAAGCTTATTTGCAATTTCTTGCTGCGAGTTGAGAGGATCAAAACCACTCTCACCTGTCCATTTGGCTACAGCCAGCAGCTGGAAACAGCTGCCAGGCAAACAGCGGAGACTCCCGGAAGTCACTACTCCCAGCCAAGAAATAGTCCGGCACATAATGCTTCAGAGGGGCTGGAAGGCAGATTTTTATTTATCTATTTGCCCTCGGACAGAGCCAGGCTAGCTGTTTCCACTTGTTTTCAGTTTTTGTGCTAATCTATGCTAACCAGTCTGTAGCTTGGTAGTTACTATACAGCATACATGAGAGTGGTATCCATTTTCTAAACACTTTCCTTCAGCAAATATGCATATTTTAAGTCAAACTATTTGTTTAAATATGTTGATGTTGTGGCTATGCATCATCTCCATAGAGATTAAATAAGCATTATTTTTCCACCTGCAGGAGTCAGACCAAAAGTTCATCTGTTTTCATCAGGTATTGTCCCAATGGAGCATTTATCCCCCCAAATTCCTAAACACACACACACACACTTATACATCAAGGTCTGCAGGCCTGCTGAAGACAAAAACACCACTCCCAATATCCCCCTTGACCTTCCTAAATCTCCTCTTTGCCCCATCCCTCTTTTTTTCTCTCCTCCTCCCTCTCTCCCTCCTCCACCAGTCCCATTGCTGTCACAGTTTTTCCAGATTCTTTGGCTCCACTTCAGGACCCTCCCCCGTCGGATGCGACTGGTCTCCTCTCTCTTTACACTCTCCTCAATGTTTATACCGCTAAGATTTTAGTGTGAGACCTTGAAACAAACGCTTTTTTTTCTTCTTAGTCTCGTCCTTGGGTGTAACTGTGTAACTGAGATATTAGAGCGACAAGATAATCCAGGAGGTCTTGGCCGGCAAGGTGAGTGAAATGCTGTCAATGATTATAAATTAAACCCAAACGGGATTGTCACGGAGAATTGTCGGTGTATTTGAAAAGCCAAAGACAAGTATGATGGTTCATGTCACTGGTTAATAGACGCGACACATAACGTTACATATTAATATGATACTATCCATAGTATGTTGGTATGTTGTCGCGTATGATGCTGTATGGGAATGTGCTGTTATGGAAAATAGCGGAACATGTTTACTACAGTAGAGCTACAGCACTCCCCAAAAAATGTTAGAGCATTGCGAAAAAGTCCTGTAATTTCCATTTAGTGCAACTGTAGCAATCTGCTGTGAGTTTACAGTTACTTTTATGAATGTTGTTTGCTATGAACTTAATTTGAAATGCGGAGACTACAGTTCTTTTAGGGCTATAAGTCATTTTAAAAGATGGTACCTTGCACATGCTGGATAGTTGTTAACAAGTAAAAGTAACAAGTACTCAGATAATTTACTCAAGTAAAAGTAGAAATACAACTATGCAGTAATAAAAGTCCTGCATTCTAAATTCTTCTTAAAACCAGTGGTGGAAAGTAACTTTAAGTACATTTATGCTTTTAAATGAGTAGTTTTATTTGAACAATGTGTCATATTTTAAAGAATCATATGTTTTGTATTTAAAATCTTAATTTGCAATAGCTGTCAAATGAAAGTTGTGGAGTAGAAGTGTATCTGGAGTAGAAATACTCAAGTAAAGTCGAGTACAAGTACCTCAAAATGACTTGTCTCCACCACTCAGTTGTACTTGGTGTGTAGATCACATTTCATTACCATTTTTGGCAGATTTCTCAACACAGTTTAGTTTAGTTGCTATCATTAATGCACTATGTGAAGGGACCTCCGAATAACACACTATAACAATAAAACCACCTGTCTGTTCATTAAA